CCACGATAAGGGATATAATTTTATCAATAACTTGCCAATTCTGTGATCCGCAGATATATCATACGTCCATAATCTTTTATCAATTTTTAAATTTTTCGTTTATTCTGATTGTATGTAGTTGGTATAAACGCGTGTAGTCCAGAAAACTTTGGAGTAGTTTCATTCTAGTTATCTTTGTTTCTTTGTTGTTCTGTAGCAGAGAGCTACTTTGCCCATGAATACATTACCTCAGTTTCACTAATTGTATAGGACAACAAGTAATGCTCTTCACTGGCCGAGTAGAGGATATTTAGAAATACCAAAGAAATTACATTGCAGACAAATTCAAAAACCATCAAATCAGGGTTATTACGTCAAATTCTAATGAATGCGGTAATTAAAAAAATGCAAAGAAGAGAAAAGCAAATTATATAATGAAATATTTCATTAAAACTTGTCATCTACAAATATTTTACTTGAATCATAACGGTACAAGTTTGTGTTGAGAATGCGCTACGTTTCCAACTGGCCTCAGAAATATACATGATACATAAACAATAAACATTAACATGTGGCCACATTAACAAAAAAGGGTGTAGGAACAGTCGAATTAACAACGCTATAAAAAGAATACCTACAAGACAGTCTCTAACGGAGTAAACACATGGCTATATTGTATTTCTTTTAAAAAAAACTAACTCAAGGAAACCAGTCTACCATGGCCTTGTTCCCTTACACCAAGGTGCGATTCTCCACTACAATTAATCACGACTTTGGACCATTATGAACCTGATAATCTGCCATAGCATGAAGCTTTAAAAAACAGCGCAACTGGTAAAGGACATATGAATTAAATTATATGACGTAACTAGTATTTGAAGGCTCTTGTAATTGTTTTTCTTCTTAGGATTTTACAAATCTATATCTTAACTACATTCTCTTTTGTATAAAGATAAGAAAATGATGTTGATTTCCAGACGGTTTTTCAGGTTATTGAATCGGATCCCTCAATTTTTCATGTATTTTTCTTAACAACCATGATGATACCAATCACTCCATAGAAATATTTGGTACATGCTATTCAAAAGTGAAGTCAATGTTTAATAACCAGTCAGAAGAGTTGCACTTAAAAAACAACAACTTGACAATCGTGACCCAAAATACATACATCTATACAGTTAACACAAAATTCGTATTAAAGATGTTCTGGAAACCTATAGTTGTGGTTAGGGCGCTCGACTCGCAATTTGAGGGTCGCGGGTTCGAATCCCCATCACACCAAACATGCTCGCCCTTTCAGCCGTGGGGGCGTTATAATGTGACGGTCAATCCCACTATTCGTTGGTGAAAGAGTAGCCCAATTAGGGACGTCTAGCGCAGATAGCCCTCGTATAGCTTTGCGCGAAATTCAAAAACAAACAAACAAATAAACCCTCTTGTAGCTTTGCGCGAAATTCAAAAAACAAAACAAACAAACTATAATTGTGGATTACGGAATGAACTAAAAGAAAATGTAGGAAACCAGAGAATAGAGTAAAAGGTTCAATCACATATTACTTTAAACTGCCATACTGTTGGCAGTTTAATTTTATTAAACTCATAAAACACATACATTTGTAAAAATCACTTTATACACCAACCTTAAGTCTTAATTAAGCCTATGATGTATTTATACCCTCTGAATCCATGGGCACCCGCAGGAAGGGGCATTTGCCTCCCTTACATCTCACAAAAACAAAATTGCAGGTATTATGATGTAAACTTAACACCGTAGTTAAACTAAATATTTTCAGTAATTGTTATTAAAACTGTAAATTTGGGTTTGCGTTTAAACACATAATACATATTCTTTTAGTCTTTTGACTTACACTATAAAAACTGATCCCCCTACATACATGTTTTGCTTCCCCTCCCCCCGAAAATATTTCTGTGGGCGCCCATGCCTGAACCATTTATATACAAATAAACTGATAGTAAATTACGATTTAATATTAAATCTTGAGGTTTGCTTATAAATTAAACACACATATATATCGATATATCTTAACACCTGTTTACTTATTTATATTCTGAAAATAATAGATTTTGGGGAAGAAGGTGTTGTAGAAGCCGCTGTACTTCTGAAATTAGACACCATGTACTGCACTTGCGAACATACCCTTCTCTTTAATCAAGAATCATCTTACACATCTCGAATTTGTGCGTGTGTTCTCTTTCTTGCAACTTATCGGAACGATATCCGGCTATCTATTTCACAGATCATAATGTGGCCAATGCTGAAAAGTTCAATGCTAGAGGTGGCAATTTAATAGCATACATGTACAGGTTGCTTAGGAGGGGCTGTGACCGTAAATAAGATAAAGGAAACAGGTTTTTTTTGTTGTTCTAATGTTGTCACGGGGATCCGCTGAATAGGAGATTATTTTTTATTGAAAACTTTCAACTTATTTGAGACTTGTATTATCCTTTGACCATCATTTTTTTCGACCTTATTTGTTTGATTTTTTTAATGTCTAATTTGCCTATTTTTCTAATTAAACAGAAAGCCTCTCGATGGCACAGCAACATACCTGCTGAACTTACAACGCTAGAAACCGGGTTTCGATACCCGTGGTGGGCAGAACACAGATAGCCCATTATGTAGCTTTGCGCTTAATTACAAACAAACAAACAATTAAACAGAAGTTCATAAGATTGTAGATGCAATAGTAAGTACCTAAAATTCCAGCTACACTTATAGTTGATACAGTAACTATATCTAACCTCAGATACACGTATAACAACATGTAATCTTGGCTACAAATATAGCTGTTACAATAACAGCATGTTATCTCAGCTAAATGTGCAGCTTCTATAGCAACAACATGTAATCTCAGCTAAATGTATAGCTGCTATAGTAACAGCATATAATCTCTTCTAGACATAGCTTTTACAATAATAACATGTAACATCAGCTACACTTATAGCTGCTACAGTTGCTATTGCAATCTCAGCTACACTTACAGCCGCTACAGTGACCTCATAAAATTACTTTTATGAAAGAAGTCTTTAACACTAAAAATGATTAAATTTTTACGTAGTAACTATTTATTAAGAAAAGATACACAAGTAATTAAGGTGAAAATGTATAGTTTTTCTAAGTCACGCTGTAAATGTACTTTCATAGTTTTTATACATATTTTGTTAAGTTTCGTAGCTTCTTAAGTAATCATTTGTTTCATTCGCTTATTGTATGAAATGGTTAGCAAACAACGTCTCCGGTTTCCAATTATCTCGAGCACCTACTTATGCTTATTCGACTGATGGTTTCGATTTTATCTACAGATTATGAGTGTGGAAAACCCGTTGGTGATAATTCTACAGTTTTTAAATGGATTTAATTTACGATTTATTGCGTATTAACGGCTGGTTTACTTTACATTGTTAGGTTTTTAAAAACATATTTTTAAATGGGTAATGTTTAAAGTTTGAAACATATTCATAAAATGAATATAACCATTCATTCCCAAGGGCTGTCTGCGCATATCCTTTCGTAATTCTGAACTGATAGCCCAGATTTTGGGCTACCCAAATGGTGGTATTAGACCGTTATTTTTGTAATGCACTTACTGACAAAAAGTATAAATGGTTTTGTTTTCAGCGTCGGCTCGCGAACCATGAACCACCAAAAGACCACGCCTGATTCAAATAAAATTGTACTAAAGATAATCTGAAAGAAATTATAAGTTTTTTTTTTTAACAGATGTGTTCAGATAAAGGCAAATAAAGTTAATTTGATAAAAATCAACTTAAAGACGTAATATTTAATGAAGATAGCTTTCATATGCGGAAACATCTGTTAGTTGAGTTCTTGCACAGATCTTAAAATATAGCGTTGATAAACGCATCGGCAGATGTAGATATGTAGATCTTGAAAGTCGAGTTGTTCAAAACTTGAAAATAGCGTTGATCTCGCTCGGGATCTTGCAGTGCGATTACTAATAAATTTTGGTACCGCTCGTTTTATTTTTTATATTTTAAGATCAGTGCAAGAAATCTTCTAATATTTAATGATTATACCCCCCTTTCCTTTCTTTCTCTTGTCTCGTTGGGAGAATGTAAATTTAAATTACCGAATTACTTGAATTTTTAATATTTTTCTCATCCCTTAGATATCTGTTTGATTTTTATTTTGAACCAATATTTTTATATCTTTCACCTAAATAATCAAGAATAAGGTGGATTTAACTAGTCCTGGCTCCAGCTTTTCTTAACTTTGTGTGTGTGTGGTGGTTGGTGAGGGAGGAGTGATACATATAATGGGGATAAATCTAAAATAGGTATACATTTGTTGCACAGCATTAGCTTGGGGGCCTGTCCCACCCTAACGCCGACACTGGGTTTAATCTCACTAGTAACGCAACTGAACAGTGGAAGCGGTTTAGAGACTCTGAAATAAGTGAACGAACCAGGGCTGATTACGTTTTTTTTTCTTGTTTTATTTATCGTCATTCAAACTTTGCTTCTTTTTTTCCCTAACCTCTTTGTAGGACGAAGTAACAGAAATTATTGGTTATATTTATGGGAAATGTGTATCAAGCACCTGAAAATATTTCCACATGTAGGTTTTTATATCATCTAGATCTTTTCTCTAACATTTTCGAACTTTTTGTCTATCAAGATGTGACCTAGAGTATAAACCATTGGGCAGAATATGTCTGTATTTGCTAAGGAAATGGTTATTAGGATAGGTGCTTGTCTACTGCTTGTATGTATGTGAACTGGTTGATAAAAAGGATGCGTTTCCTTCTTGCCGCCAAATGTTGTTCCAAATAATACTCTTGTTCTTTGTTTGTCTGTTCCGATAATTTAAAAAAATCATAATTTTTTGAATTAACAAGTATCCCAACTAGTTAAGAATTACGAACTTCCATTGCGATTGGTAACATTAAGACGAGAGGCGGAGCTCTACCAGGTAACCAATGAATATTAAGAATTTTCTATATCACGTGACGAAAATGTATGCAGTATATACACCTTCCCTGGCGTAGTTTGCGACACCTTGGTATAATTAGATTGTATATTAACGCTTTCCCCCACTGTTACCTTGTTTCAGCATTTTGATTCTAAAGATATAAAATAGGATTTCAATCTGTAGATCACGGATTTGTAAAAGGTAAGCGAATAAGCTCTTCAATAAGCAAAAAAAAAAAAAAGTTTCGCTAAAAGTTTAAAGGTTCCTTCCACTTTTATTTTAGTTAATTACTAGCAATTAATGTACGAATTGTTCAATAATCTTGATTTAACCAGACGTCCATCAGTAAAATTAGCTGCTGTGATTGAGAAGGAGAATATAAATTTTACATAGGTTTTGTTTGAACATGGAGCATACTTCCTATAAGACAGAAATAGAGTGTTGTTCGTGGCAGTTATTTCGATGAAGTTTATTATTTTACAATAATAAATGTGCTAACACAAGGCCTCTTAAACCCTAGAGCTCTGTGTCTTTAACCTTGTTTAGGAAAAGGTGTGGTTGTGCGAAACGTTTCTACGGCCAAATAGGAGGTTACGTAACATGCAGCTTACTAAGAGGACAGAAAATTCAACATCCTACCAAGGAAATATGCATTCCCAAAATAAAAGTGCTTAAGAAATTTGTGTTTTTTATAGAATTATGTCATGCATAAGCTATGTTCGTGAAATTTAATCGTTGGTTTTTCTAATTTCCTCTAATATTTCTATTCAGTATTTAATGCGATGCTATTCGTACAAACTCAATATCTTGAACAAATTTGTCATACTGTGAGCAAATATTGTTCTGAAGAGAATCATTAATTAACATCCCTAACTTCTTTATTGCGTTCACATATATAATCTTAGTAATTACCGTAATGCATCTATGATCATTCTTACGAGTGAGTATTTAATGGTGACCATGCCTGTTTTCTCTTTTTTTTCACATTTTTAATCTTAGTAATTACCAAAATACATCTGTGGTAACTCCTATGAGTGAATTTTCAATGGTAAACATTCACGCGTTCTTCGTAGCGTTCCCATCCGTAATATTAGTAATTAACATAATACAACGCATTTTTCGTAACCGTACCGTAAATATATTTTCTGCCTCGTATATTTAGCTTATTAGCGTTTTGTATTAACTTTATTTAAATTTCCAATGAAACTACAATAGCTAAGGACTTAAATAATTTTACCTATAACCTTAAAGACTCCCCTAACTCTCTTCCATAACTTCATAAATGTTTAGTAGATTCATATGTACCTTTGATAATACTTAAATAACAATATAAACTGTAGTAATGGGGTACAACATTATCTTACAAATCTAGCGCTCGTTCAAGGGAAATAATCCGATAACAAACTACTTTACTACAAACAGAGAGTGGGGTGTCGCAAAATGAGGCATAAAGAAAACCCAAACGTAGAGTAATACAATGTGTTTCTGAAAAATGCTTTATTTATGTCTGTCGGTTTTGTCTTTGAGTAACCTGTAGCAAATATTTTCGAATTTCAGATCTCATCAAATTTTATATTTCTCCGCAAAAATAGATGCATGGGTTTTTAAACCTGTATAGTAGTCTTAAGCTACTCCACAAGCGGTCCGAGTGTGATCCAATGGTTAGCATGCTGGATTTTGGAGTAGGCGTGCCTCCTGTTCACGCGAATATGTATATATATATATATATATAATCACGCGCTGGTGATCAGCTGTATTCCTCTAGTCTATAGCTTTAAAATTATGGGCAAAACGAACGTTATGTGTTATGCATGGTCGTGGTATAAGCAAATTATCTGGAATTATTTTCATTTGTGTTTCTGCTATTACAAAAAAAGAATATATAAATATACATTGTAACGAATTTATTGTTATATATTTTAGTATTGACGTTTGTTTGGGTTAAATTTATATTTAGAAACATACATGGTTTACACTGTTAAATATGTATTGCGAAGCACCCGCCTATTCTCCAAATTCCCTCTAGTCTTACACTGCTAAATTAGGGACGGCTAGCGCAGATAGCCCTCGTGTAGCTTTGCGCGAAATTCATAACAAACAAACATACGCCTAGCAAACATATTTAACAAAATATATTCCTCTATCAAATCATCAATGTTGTCCCTGGTTTGAATTACGCATTGTGAGTTATCAGTTGTAATATCGAACCTTTCTTATCGACCTTCTTCCATATAACATTTTTCGATTGCGCTACAATATTGCTGTAGTTGAAACCTAAACACTACAGCAGAGTTATACTTTTAATAGAAAATGTGTAATTTTAAGAGAAAGATAACAGTACTATAAACACATAGAAATAATACACACACACACAAATATATATTATTTTACTAAATAATATAATGTTTCCAAGTATAGGTACAAACAGGTATTAGCTTAGATTATACAAGTAAAAAAAAAATAAAAACTTGTTGAGCACGAGTTACGGGTTATACGGATCATGGCTGTTATATATCTGACTTTTGCGTCTCACGTTTTGTAGTTAATCGCATGTTTAAACTTTGAATGCGTATTATGACCTTGCAAGCGAGATCACACATCATGGTTCTTGAATGTAATTATCAATCGGAGTCCTTCATCAAACCTACTTGAATATTAAGTATAGTTTATTTCAGTTTTAATGACAAAAACGTAAACGTGACAACTATCTTAAAACGAGTTAGCCGTCATACAACCCTTAGTTTGCAAGTGTTTAAAATGCTTAGTATTGATTGGTTTGTTATCTTTCGGATATTCGTGCAAAGCTTCACAAGGGTTAGCTTTCCTCAATTTTGGCCTGATATAATAAAAGGAAGGCAGCTACTATAACACCCACCGCCAACTATTGGGCTACTCTTATGGAACGACGCGAATCACAAGAACCTCGGATAAACAATCCCGCAGGCTAACAAGTCACACCCGGCCTCTTAGCAATGAACCATGACTATACCCTCTTTTATTTAAATAATAAGAGCTAGAAAGGATCATTATGATAAATATTACAAGTTCAAATGTTAGTATAGCCTATACCTCAAATAATGAGGAAAGGCTTTGATGTGTTATTAATTCAACACTATTAAATGCACCATTCTAAGTGAAATACAAGTGTTTTAACTTTTGTTCCAATTTTGTTTTTATACAGTAGTGTAAGGACATCCATCACACTTTGAAAACATTATCTCGTTCAAATTTGTGTTTAAAACTCAAGGCGTCGTTGCCGGGCTCTGGCCTACAGTGCCCGTACTCCGATGTATTTCACAGTACTCAGAATAAGGTTTAAGATCTTACGTATATTATAATATATTGCATATTTCAATTATGTTTTGATTATTTTGCGTAGTAGCTACTTCTTGGGGTCTAAGCCCCGATTATTTTTGGTAGCTGGCGACGCCCCTGTTTAGAACACCAATGATGACTTAACCAACAACACAGAATAACTACAATAATAATAAAAAATAATAAATATTTGTTTAATAAGAAAGATAAGACGCACAGCAGTTTCTAGAGAATGCATGTAAGACTTATTCAAAAAATAAAGACTGGTTTAATGTTTGTTACTAAGTGCCCAGCTACACAATGGACTGTCTCTGTTGTGCCCAACCTGTACCCAGTATCGAAATCTGACTTTTAGCGTTATAAGCCCCCAGACTTACAGCTGAGCTACCGGGGAGGAGGGTGTTTTGTTGTTGTCTTAGTGCAAATTTACACAATGGACTATCTTTGTTGTGCCCAACCTGTACCCAGTATCGAAATCTGACTTTTAGCGTTATAAGCCCCCAGACTTACAGCTGAGCTACCGGGGGGGGAGGGTGTTTTGTTGTTGTCTTAGTGCAAATTTACACAATGGGCTATCTGCACTAGGTCTATTGCGAGTAATATCGAACACCGGATTTTGACCTTGTAAGTCCGTAAACTTACTGCTGACTCACCAGGGCACGAAAAGAGAAAGAAAGAATTATTGTGAAACATACAGATATCCTAGATATCGGGAATATTAACGTGAAAGCTACCTAGAATACAGGATAAATATACCCTTCTCTGAAAGTCCAAGCTACATATATAGTTAATACACTCCTGTAACTAACGTCAGTGAATAAAATTGTTATATTTCTGTACCTTTATATTAGAAGAAATATGGTATGTGAATTATTATTATTGTTGCCAAGTGCCCCTGGCGGTATAAAATTGTTTATACCTCGCATATAAAAGTAAAATATATAGTCCGTTTTATAGTCCCATTATAAATTTCCTGATTGTTTTTCTTTTCTCATTTTAATTTCTGAATGGGCGCATGAGTCTTGTCAAATAACTCCTTTCCACTAACATAAGATAAATATATTCACTTTTAAATAAGTCCAACTCGAACTTTTACAGTCATAGGCCAATCTTAACTGCCGAGTTGTAGTGTTACAGGAAAACATTGAACAGTAGCTTGTGTCAGAAAAAAAGATAGATCAGAAATGCTATTTTCACGCGCTACTGACTTGGAATCCGTAATGGACTAATTAAAATGAATGTGTTAAAAACTATTTATAGTATCTCGTTATTTCCATCAAATCTACTGGAGCACGGCATGGTCAGGTGGTTAGGGCGCTTGACTCGCAATGTGCTCGCCCTTTGAGCCATGGGGGCGTTATAGTGTGGCAGTCAATCCCACTAGCTGCCTTCCCTCTAGTGTTTCACTACTAAATTAGGGACGGCTAGCGCAGATAGTCCTCGTGTAGCTTTGCGCGAAATTCAAACCAAACCAAACAAACCAGATCTATTGGGCCTAATGAGGTTACTTTTATCTTGAATCCACGTTTAGCATGATCTTTTCTATCTTCAAAGGTAC